TCCATTCCATTCACTGTTGAGTGGAAGGCAAATGGTTAATAGAAACACTTGATTAGACATCAGAGTTTGAAGTCACAGTATGCTGCAACTAAATAGCTATTGCAGGAGAAATTGTGGACTACCTGGTGCATGAAATAGCGTGACAGCAAGTTTAGTTCATAATAGTGATATGTTTACTATGATCAAGTTCAGCTAGGGTTTCAGATTAATTCATGCATGCAGGTACTGCTGACTTCTCTTGGTGTTAGTTGTTTGTATGGTACCTGCCCCCTCCCACATAGACAAGTACCTGCTTGACATGAGCCAGAGGGTAGTCATGATAGTCTGCTGTGGGAAACAGAAGCAGCAGAATCTTGTGGCACCTTCAGAGCTATCAGGTGTGTCTTGGAATATATTTTTGTGGAATTTAGCCCACTTTTGCATATCTGTGGAATATCATGGAGAGTCTAAAGTTTATATACACTATGTATATTAGAAAAGAAATCAGAAGGAAATTAAATTAAAGAAGCTATATTATTAATAGTGGACATTCCAGGGCAGTTGTTGAGTTCAGTTGTAGGAACAGCTGCATTGTGGATGCCAAACTGTTAATAGTTTGAGTGGCACTTTGCATTTAATTTCTTTCTGATAACACTTTCACATTTCTTTCCCCCCAACAAACACATACCATATATAAAGTATATAAATTTTTCCCTAATACAAATTTCCACAATGAACCTGATGGGTCCATACCAGAATAAAATGGATTAGTCTTTTTAAATGCCCAGAAAGCCTCAGCTATTGAGTGATAGAAAATGAAATAATTGCATAAGTAGTCTTTGTGATGCCATAAGGTTCTGGATCGCTTACACTTCAGAGAATAATTTCCAGTAAAATACACTCAGATGTAACACACTAATAGAAAGTCCTGTAGCAGCTTTTTAGTAGTGTATTTTGCCCAAGTTCTACTCAGAGTGTCTGGATATAACTCTTTTAGGGCAGAATCCTATGCATGTTTAAACAGAAGAAGGTCCTCCAACTCCTTGTCCTGTAGCACTTTTTTCTGCCTTAAGCATGCATGGGGTTGCATCCCTAGTCTTATCAGTTGCTTCTGCTGATCTGCTTGGTCTGAGGGCCAGGCTAAATGTGTTGGCAGCAGTGCTCTTTCTTTCAAAAACACACTGCCTGAATTGCATAATGCATATGTGGTAGCACCCGTTTTTAACAGCTGGAGAGTGCAGAATACTCCTCCTTGCCTGCACCTTGTTTGCTTGCTTATATTCTGCTCCTTGAAGTGCACTTTTGCCTTGATGCAGCTATGGCTGGTTGAGAAAATGCTTCCAGACAGGGCCATGGGGTAGTAACCAGTGGGTGAGGTGTGGATTATGCACTCCTCGTTTGCTACTAAACAGAACCTCCTTGCTTCTTTCTACACCATTAGGGCTGATCAGCATTTAATCACAGTGGATATGCCACCTTTTCATCTCCTTCCTCTCCAAGAGGCATCCTTGAATCCAGGCAACAGCATAAATACTGGTTGAGTTCACCAGCTTTTTAAATTGCTCAATTAAAAAAGAATTAATTGTTTAAGTCAATAGCAAAAGTTCTTTTACACAAGGAGTGCCACTTTTAAATTATATGCCCTCCAATTACTGATACTGTTAACCTGAATCAGAATGGCTGATGGACTAAATATTTACTCCAATTTATTGGCAGTGATTATAGTTATTTGGGCAAAAGTAGATCTGAATCCATTTAAAATTGATATCCACCAGAAAAAGCATTTTTCTACCAGTGAAAAAGGACTGTTGCTATTTCAATATCAAGCAACTTCAAGTAATTTAGCTTCATGAATGTCAGTGTGGCTTGTGATTTGACCTCCAGAAATAGGGATAGAACCAAGTTGTCCTTGACAAGTTGAAAGACAGAGAACATCCTGAATTTAAGCTTTTTCTTACGCATTATGTTCCCCAGGGCACTGGGATGAGAATCATACATTACTGCAGACATGTTGCCCATGCCCTTCCACTTAATACAAAATGTGAAATAGAGGAAGGTATACTTAATATGCTAGTTCTGGTTTGGTGACTATTGATAGTAACTTGGGTATTTTTATCTTTGCTTTATATGGGCTTTACAACTGTACCGGAAAGCAAAACAAAAATACACCCTGTAGTAAGATGCAAATCCCAGATTTGCCTAGGTTGGATTCTATTTTATTTTCAGTCCACTGTAATCAAGACATTTCAGGGACCTTGAGGGCGCCTGCTCGTGGCTTTCTAAAGATCAAAGTTCTCTTGGATCCTCTGCTGCTTTGAGAATATAATGTATGCTGACATTGTTGATACGAATCCTAGCGCTGGTCTCTACATACATATAAATGCTACAGGGAGGGCAGTGAATAAAACTTGTTCCCTCTTTCTGCTTCTTTCCACCCCCATGACTCGTGGCTATTATATGATGAAGGGACATAGCTTAGAGATGCTCTTTTCATGCATAAAGTCTCAGGGTCAAATTGTATCATTTCTGGTGAATAGGCCATTTGGTGACAAGGCTGGAAAACAAAATATATGCATATCAGCAATCTGTCCATCAGTGTATGGACCCATGGGGCATGTTTGAGTAGATGACTATAGGAGTGCAGTGTGGGGGAAAAATCAGTGCAAAAGATCCCCTGATTAACTATGCATCAGATTTAAAAACAATACCCTCCAAAGGGCAAGCATTCTCTTCAAAAAAGAAAAGAAAAAAGCAATTTTTGATCGATTGTTCTATTTTGAACCAGCTGAAGTTTCCAGACTGTCTTCAAAGGCAGCCCCATGTAGAGTGCATTGCATTAATCCGAGAAAGTGGTTACCAGATCATGGGTCACTGTTGAGGCTCTGCCTGTCCAGGCAAGATTGCCGTTGATAAATTAGCCTTAGTTGATAGGAGGTGCTCCAGGCCACCAAATCAACCTGTGACAGCAGTGACCATTCAGGGTCCAGGAGCAGCCCCAGGAGCACCCCTGAGACTGTTCAGGGTCCAGGAGCAGCCTGGAGGCACCTTAAAAAGTAGCACATTTTTATTTTGGCACATGCTTTTGTGGATGCTGTCCATTTTATAAGGGTACACAACTGTTAGTATCTGGGTAAGCCCCTTCACGAGGTTAAATAATTTCACTCTACATGGCCAAGTCTGGTGCTTTCCCTTTTAATGACGTTCAGAGGAGGTAATTTTAGGACTAATATGGCTACCCCTCTGGAAAATTTTATAACGCCCAAAGATCTCCTGTTCTTTTCATTAGACAAGATGTTACAATAAGCACATTGGCAGGGGTGGAATGAGAGGGAACAAGGGTCTGACTAGATATTGCAATCAGGATGTCATCATGGACCAGATCTTAAAATGTTATAGAGGAGGAGCATTTGCAGATAATCAAACTGGACTCTGCCAGGTGTTGTGATGACTTCAGGTTTCATAACCATGATCTTGAAAGTTGTCTTATGTCCAACCTGTGTTGTATTGCCAGCGTAAAAGAGCTTCCCTGTTCTTAAATGGTCAGAGCAATATTTTTGTATGTGTTTCTGTTTTGGTTTTACAGGTTCAGGGATATTGATGGCAACAGTTCTGTGTTGTTCTTTTGGGTGATTCCAATCATCCAGGTCCAGATTCTCTCCACTATTCCAAGCTGACTTTTGGGAAGGGAGTGAGGTGGGTGGCTATCAGGATGAGGGCCTTTGCAGTTGTGGCACTCCAGTTTTGGAAAGACCTCCCTAAGGAAGTATGCTTGGCACCTGTTTTGTATTCTTTTCAATGCCAGGTGAAGAACTTTTCATTTTCCTGATATTTTAATAGTTTCACTTTTAAACTTTGTTTTTATATATTCCATTATATTCTGCACTGCGGCTATGCTTCTATGCTGAATCATAGCTGTTGCAATTGCTATTATGGTTGTGTGTGTGTGTGTGTGTGTGTGAGAGAGAGAGAGAGAGAGAGAATGTGTTTAATGTTTAATTTTAACTTTGTTCCTTTCCAGAAAGTCTTGGCTATTGGGTGCTATAAAGCTGAAATAAATAAAAAATAATATGTACTGCCTATGTACAGGAAACAGGGCAAAGCCAAGAAAGAAAGGCTTTGATGGTGATGTCGAAAGGCAATGAGATATACATATTTAGTAAGCCATGCCTGTAGAAAAAAATTAAAAGTATGCAAAAGGCTTTATAATATCTTAAATGTTGAGATTATTTCCTCATTGCAAACAAAGTTGCCAATTCTTCATTTAGAGCACTTCTCTAAATGAAAGCTTTGCCATGACCTTTTTAGTTTAGACTCCATGTATAGACTTCCTAAACCGTAATTTCAGAAGATCTTAAATTATGAAAGCCTCTATAGTCTAAATTTGTGGTAACTAGAGATGTACTGGGTGTCTGCCCTTAACAGGTTTCAGCATGGCTGTGATAGCTTTAAACTAGAAGAATAGGCAGAATGTCCTGTAATGTCATACATTGTTGCTCAACCTTGTTTTTCTATGTTGCTTGCCTTGGCCATGATTATCTTTGAATAGATGCAACTTCCAATTAAAGAAGGTTGGGTTTTTGTAGATCGTGCTTTATATCAGGCTTATATCTTCATTTGTACCAAATACTGGATCTTCTTCTATAGACTGCTTTCTACCTGGAAGGCAATACGTTCTAGACTTATTAAAATGGATAAAGTTCTTCTCATAGTTATGGTGGTTAGAAGTGTGGGGCATTTGCTAAATTGAAACTGTGGGGAAACCTAGATTTAACAATTCTCCATACCCTTCCAACAAATAAAATACTGCTATCACAACGTGGAAAGAGAAACACTCACCTTGTACAGCAGATTGAAGAACTTGTAATATTTTCCACATCTGAATGTGTGGCATAGAGTCACCACCTGCAACTGGACACTTATCTCAATAATTTTGAAAATGTTGGTTGAAGTTTATGTATAGTCCTTAGAAACTTTCATTTTCATTCACACACATTTCATATGTATGTGTTGGAATTGCCAGTGTGATGTAGTGGTTAAGAGCATAGGACTGGGACTCGGGCAATCTGGGTTCTAGTCCCCACTCAGCCATAGGGCCAACTGGGTGACTTTGGGTCATTCACATACTTTCAGCCCAAGCTGCCTCACTGGGTTCTTGTTGTGGAGATAAGACTGAGAGCAGGAGGAAGAGCATTGTGAAAGCTGCTATAAGTTCTTTCTAAAAAACAACAACGGGATATAAATCTAATACACAATTACCTTCAAATCTATGCATTGTCTGTCTCTCTGTCTCTCTGTCTCTTTTGTTGAAACCTTTGTTGGCTAGTCTGAGCTAGTCTGATTAGCTAATGACTAGCAAGAAAAGAAGTTACTATAATAGACTTTGAGACCGTTATCCATTGCATTGGATTTGTTAAAAGTCTCTTCTGAGCAAGATCCTGTATAGTACCCTGATAATTCTGTATTGAAATAGTAACAGGATACAGTAGATTATCTTACAGTTGGCAGCGCACGCAACTCAGATTGACAATTCACTGACTGTTATTTGTCCATTGTCAAATGTTGTTCAGTCCCCTATGAATCTGATGGTGCTTTAAGCGCTGGTCTGTTCCATATTCAAGCATGACTGCTTTTAAAGAAAACCTTGTTTTTTTTACAATTGCTCTTACTTTGACTAATTTAACCATAGGCTAACTCTGGTGCTGCAGGATAAAAGCCAAGGAGAAAAACTGTTTAGTTAAATGTTCATTTACAGAAACTTTATGAAACAATTTATCACATTCTTTAAAGGTTACTTTTGTTATTCTACCAAAGAAATTAACTAAGACTGCAATCCTGTAGCCACTTTCTTGGGAGTTTACTTTTGAGTAGACATGTCTAAAAGTGCTCTGTAATTTGTTTTTGTAATCTTGTGCACACTTACCTGTGCAAACCCCCCAGTGAATTTGGTGGGACTTACTTCTGAGTACACGTGTGTAGTAATGACATGCATAATGGGGTGACTTCAGATTTAGTCATGCTTAAAGGAGAACCACTGAATGGGACAAGGCAGTAATAACTAACTTGAACTGATGTCAGTGAATCAACTCTATATGACTAACTCTGTATCTAACCAACTATTTGTTCAGTTATTCTAATAAGGTTCATTCTTTAAAAATACTTGAGCTTTATTTTACAATATTGTGCCAAAGTTTAAGAGTCAATATGACCAAATCTCTTGTTATCATTAAAATACCCAAGTAATTTGTATCTGGTAGATATTTCAGGTATTTTTACTGAGCTTTTCAGACAACAAGGCTCCAAGACTGGTTTACATAATTTCAAAAGTATTTGCTTACATTTTTAAGCAAGTTCATTATTTCATCTAAACTTGGACTAGCTGTAGTTAGTCTTAACTTTGAGATACTTCAAACCTTGGTTTAGTAAACCAGTTTGTTAAGATTAACAAGGTTTGGATACAATTCTAATGTTAATTATGGTTATCTGAAAATTTCTAATGTCTAAGATCTTCTATTTGGTGGAGAAGGGGGGGTTGCACATGTAATCCTAAACCATAGTTTCACCTTAATTCTGAACCAAACCCTTATGTTTGGTAGTAGAGTTTTTAAAAATCTGGAATTATGGTGACTCATAAATGCAGCCTGCAGAATAATTGTTGCTTGAAAAAATAAATCTCTATGTTGCATCCATCTCTCATAACCAGTCAACAAAATCATGATTCTCAAATAATTGTTAACAAGATCATCTATGAAAAAGTTGTTCACCTTATTATGTTTTTATCTTTCCTTTCCTCTAAGAAACTCATGGTATTGTAGAGAAGGCTAAGATATAGCAACTTGGTTCAGCAAACCTGGAAATGCTCATTGGTTCAATGGTTCTGAACTTGTGTCTTCCCAGTTGAAATCTGATATTGCACTAACTTAGCATGTATGGCTTGGGATTTTTCCAGACCACTAGAAGGCAGATATTACTTACTGATGTCCTAGAAGCTTTCTAAATCTTCTGAAACTTAGTGGTTGATAAATCTTTTCTTTTTCTTCTGTTGGACTTTTACCAAATGGCCTGATTTCATTGGTTATATCCAGCATTGATCCAATGTTAATAATTGTCAATGGGGCTACTTTATGTAGGACAAACACAGGATACATCACTTTATTTTTAAAGCACCTGGAATACACTCTTCATTAAAGCATTAAGAAATAATTCATAACATTTAAGGAATCCATAAATAGTTTGTGTTTTCATTTTTAAACAAAATATACAAAAAGCTTGCCAACGCAGTGCACACAAGGATTTCTTTCCCCTCACTCTTGTGATAGTGAGGACTAAGCCTGCATGTTATAGTGCCAAAAAATAATTATAATAGGCCATTATTTTTGCAAACCGGCATTTGGCGAGGGAGAGATCCGGTTGCAATCCTTTTCTCTGCAAATCAAATCGTAATGTTAGACCAAGTAAAAAGTTAATGATTCATGGTTATGTATATAAGATGGCCAGATTAATTAAACAAAGTACTAATGAAACCCAAATCAAAGTGCCTGTCTTTATGTTTCATGTTTGTATTGTTTCTCAGCACTCTTAGCTCCTGTAGCTGCTGCTTCCTTTTTTCAAGTTACTTACAGAATTTAGACACAATCACATCCAATGCCCTTTCACATATCTGTTGCAAATACAAGTTTACACATGCATCAGAGTTGCACATGCATGTTGACTTGTACTTGCTTAACACCTTACAGTTCTGAACCTTCAGGGTGTCCTTTGAAGTCATGCTGCCCATATCCGGTAATGTGTTCTTGGAATGCCCTGTGTACAGAACTAGCTCTTTTAGATGCTTGCATTGTGGAACATCTGCAGGTTTCTATGTGGTTTGAATCCAGGTCTGTTAAAGCTTTCTTCCCATGTATTCCAGAAAATGGGAGGACTAAAGGGGCAGGGCCTGTACATGCTGGCCCTTTCTCTAACATCTGTGTGTACACTGCAGCCCTTCAAAATCCCCATTCTCACAGTCCTGAGTGGTAAGGTCTACAGGAGAGTCCACTGGGAACTCTCAGATAAAACCCAGCTTTATCAGCGTTCCCAGTAAGACCAAGAGATCTACTCATATTCAGGCAAATGTGAGCAGAACACCACTGCACACCTTATTGCAAAACAGAAGATCAGGAATTTAAGGCGACCTGGACAGTGAGCCTAGGAGAATGCAAGCAGGACCAGTGTACCCATCCCCAGTTCTAGCCTTCTGTCACTGAGGAAAAGATGTGAAGATAGCCGTACACAAACTGGATGACCTAAGGAGACCTTTTTGAGACAGGGGAGTCAGGTGAGTCACATCCTGCTGGTTCAGCACTGGGGCACACAAATAGGATGCTCTGGTGTTCAGGAAGTACCTTTCTCTCCCTGCTTCTTTCATGTTCTCCAAGGAACACTGTACCCCTTTTGTGTAGCCAGGAATTTGTGCAGGCCTTTGTAAGCTATGGTGGTTCCTGCTAGCAGTGTGATCCCGCAGGACATTGGTGGAAGATGAAGCATGCCATACATCCAGAACTGTAAGGAGCAGAAAGATGGGAACAGCGCATCTCATCCTTCTGGCAGGTTTGGCACACACATGTCCATTACTATAAGATGCCTTAGTCCAGGATTGGCACATAACACGGAGCTATCACTGTTGCAGCTGTGCCAGCTTAACAAAAGCAAGTGCCTCTTTTATGAGGTCCTTTTTGTTCAGGCCATATGACTATTGTCAATCTGGGCAATGCCTGGAAGTGACCACATAGTGGAGTGTCTCACAAGAAGGACTGGGCGACTTTTCTCCATCTCACTGCAGATACTTGACAGCATCTGTGGTTGTGTGGAGAAAATTGCCTGCTCCAAGTGGTGAGCAATATGGAGTGATTTTAAAAGCCGCTTCCAACTACATGGACTGGGTGTGCCAGTTCTAGAGCACTTTGGCTAACCCTAATACAATTATCACTGGTGCACTACGGAGACTGAATGGGGGTGGGGCAGGGGAACAGACTTTCTGGCAAGCTTTGGTTAGAATATAGCAGAAGCCAGCAGAAAGCAAGTACACGGTGTCTGCGTAGAACAAGCAGCATGTTCTTTTTCCTGTGAACAATGCAGGCAACTTGTTTCTGCCATGGGAAGGACCAAGTGAGGCATTTTTTAATGGAATTACCTCCAGTAATGAAAATAAGCAGGGACAATGATTGCTTAAAGACTTCTTTGTAATCATGTGCCAAGCTGCATCTGGCAGGAAAAGCCATACATTAGCGTGCACAACACAGTGCATTAAGGAAAGTAGTTACCAGTATGGATACGCTGCAGCGTCTTGCACACTGCTGCACTAGAGAAGCAAAGAGGTAGATCAGCTGGGTGAAAGTGCTCATAGACCCCAAGATGCTGCTTGGCACATTCCAACCAACCACTTGCTGCTGAACCATTTTGAGGGTACGCCACTCACAGAGCTGGCAGCTTAGGGATTGCATGTAGTGCCCCAGCCCTTTTCTGTGGTCCCTGAGCACACTGCTGACATTCCGTCACATAGCAGCAGCAGCGCCAGCAGAAGTGTGGAGTCGCTCGGAAACGAGGCCCATAGGGGAGCGCCCATCATGCTTTCCAGCAGTGTTGCATCTCTGAAACTTCCGTGTATGACTTGCTTCTCAACAGTCCCGGGTTGTTTTGCCATTGCTGCTTTGCCAAATTAGTCGGCAGGAGTGGTTTGCCGCACTGTGGCACGGGTGAACAACGCTGGCACAAATGCAGCATCAGTCTGTCCGCTCTATGTCATCTGCAAGTCTGGGCAAAATATACAGTACTGCTTCTAAAAGGCTGAAGACATCATGCAGATGAGGCTGAGCAGAGCATTGGGATGGGAGGAGAAGGGATGAAATCCAGAATGAGATGAAATGACAAGCATTTATTTATTTAAAACATTTTTAGGCTGCATTTCAGCTAAAATGACTTCTGGAGCAGCTTAGATACAGTCAATAAAGATAGTCAGGTTCACACAGTCACAGAGGGAAAATTAGGGCTTATTTTCCTCATGACATGCAGTGTCCCTGTCAGCATAATTACCCCTCCTCTGCCTAAGTTGTTTTGATGTCTGAAACCAGCAAGAATGAGTAGCTGCAGTTTACCCTCCATGTTTGTCCAAACCCTGTATGCTTACTCTTTGAAAAGGCACAATGCAAAAGGAGAAAGGACTGATGAAGGAAGAGGAAAAAACAATTTGTTTTTCATTATGACTGGTGAGGCAGCCCTGCATCCCACCTTGTTGCGGCTGGAATGGCTGCTGCCTCTGCTGGCAGTTGAGGGAGATGCTTCTTCATCAGGGCAGGTGGAAAGGCAAAGAATTAGGAGTCCAGAGTTACACAGAATGCCAAATTAAACAAACATGTACTTCCCCAGTCTTTTTAGTCTTCCCATTATGCTCTCCAATGAGAAGCCAGTAGCCCAGCTTGCCCATCTAAATTCACATGCCCTGCTTCAGTTGCCCCTGAGGCCCAGAAGGGGAGAAAAAGGGTTGGTGTAACTGACCCCAAGAAAAATCATTCAGCAAATTCTCTTACATGGACAAGATATATGGTTTCTGGCACTTGGTCTCCTCCATGTCCTCTCACTCCCTTTTCAGCTTGTTTGCTTTGGTCAGACATCGTGATGTGATTGCTGAGGCATCGTTTCTTTTGAAATGACTCTATATTCCATTGTTTAGGCAATCAGCTGCCCTGATGTGCTCTCTTTCTTAATCTTCAAACTCTTAGCTTCACTAACAGGAAATTTGATTCTTCGTGTGCTTGCCAACCTACAGTTGACAGGAGGAACAAGTATAGGACAGGACCAGACTGGTAAGGAATGAGCAACCCACATGCTGTTTGTGCAGCTATAGCAACTAGGGAGGGAAATGGTGAATTCTGTGCTTTACAGGTGTGGTCTGATATTGGAATAAGGAGAGGCAGGTTGGATTAATTGTGGCAGCTTTGCTGCTGTTTCCAAAAGTAATGGTATATCTTATTCAAAGGTGATGCTGTCAAACTTAGTGATGTGTACACTGTTTTATAAACCTTTTCATCTAACTGGAGATTAAGGTGTGAGTTAAACCAAGTATGGTGGCATGCACATCTATATTGACATATTTGTAGTTAGGTGTGTGAAGCAACCTGCCTTCCATTGGCCATAATAGCAGCAGTACAAGCTGGGAGGCATGGAGAAGAAGGTTTTGCGCAGTGCGATCAGCACACACCATGCACTGCTTAAATGAGGAATTCCACTGGCATCTGCAAAAGTGACTTTTGTGTGTAAATAAGGCTAGCAATCTTGGAGAATGAGAATTATTCCAAGGCTACAAATTATGCAAATGTACATAGTAAGCTTGACTAAATAAAATATAAGTGGCTTTTAAGCTTTGGGTGGATTCCCAACCCATAACTTATCCATTTTTTAATTTTTTTTGAAAGTGCACCTAAGGTTTGCAAATATTTCCTGTAAAATTTTGCAGTGGTTTTTCCTAGAACAAACGGTATGAACAGAAACTTTTCTCCTTGCTGGCATTCCCAGCCCCTTTCTTGCCACATTATGGATGGCTGCTGCATTGAAGGGCCACAGGTGCCTGTTTGCTGAACTAAAGAACTGCATTTCCATTTGAATGTTAAAAGAACATTCAGCAAGCTGACAGCTTCTGCCTCCTCTTCCCACTGCTTACCATGAGTGGACAAAGAGCAGACACTTTTGAATCTATCCCACCATCTGAAAAGGTAGAGATACACAAGCTGCTCTCACCCCACATCCTATTTCTGTTTTCTGCAATAGGGAGCTGCCTTAAGAACCTTTGCTGTTATATATTAAATATATTAAATTGATATATTTTGGATGCCCAGGAGCAGGAAAGCAAATCCTCTTTGCCAAGATTTCAAGATGTTGTTACAGCTAGAAAACCCTCCTTTGGAGTGTGCTGCCTAAAATTAATCTCCAGTTTTGCTATTATATAGTCCATCATATTTTTCTTTGTTTCTGTTCTATGTCTGCTTAGGGACCTGTCTTGACCAGATCTGGAGAATGATCTGACCTACAACCAGTCTTCAGAAATGGTAGTCAACTATTGCATCTTTATCCCAGAATCTCACACCCTCTGCACCTACCAGTGATTCATTTAGTATTTGCCATTTTTAAAAAATCTGGATTGATACTGAAGACTTATGGGTAAAAGTATGCTGACCCATTTTTTATTTTCTTTTATTTTCTTCCATTCCCTGCTTCTTAGGGCTACATTAGGTGTTACATATGGAGTGTGCAACTGCTCTTCTTTTTAACCTTGAAGTAAGTCTACCAGACCTTGGTCCAGATCCCTACATGCAAGTGGGGAATTGTTACCTTCCCACCCAGCCCCACAAAACTTTTCTCTCCCCTGTGAAGGCTAAAAGGAGAAAAAGCTCTCCATTAGTCATGGTGGTGGAGCAGGGGCTCACAACAGTGCCTCCCATACAAGTAGCACCCTCAGACTCCCATTTTGCTCCTCAGGTTACCTGCAGTCCTCACTGTTACGGAAGATACAATTTCCCAACAGTGATACATTGTTATATGTCAAAGTGAAAAGTATTTTGGCATGGCTTGGTCATGAACAGGCAATGAAAACCCATGAGCCTTAGAAAAGACTAGCTCCTGGTGGATAAGAAAACTGGCAGAAGGGGTTTCTTGATATGTTCCAGCAGAGCTGCCTGAATTTTGGGGCTCTCTTTAGGGCATGGTGACTATTAGAACGCGCTCTTGCACTTCAGAATCTATCTCTGCACTATTACGTGCCTTGCAGAATCTAATCTGAAGTTCTGCAAAACTTTCCATACCACACTTTATCTTGGGACTCTGAACATGCAGGAGCTTGAATGTCATCATCAAGTCAGATATTTTTTTCTCCAACCTGTTCCTTCCACCCCACCCGCTTTACGTAATATCTTACCTTATGGGGAGAGCTGGAGATTTGGAAAGTTTGCACAGTTCTTGTGATCTTTTGATTGGCCTGGTAAAGGGAGTATTCTCTGAAGGATTTTGTATTTCTTTTTAATAGTCAGCATGGTTACACTTCCTCTCCCAGGTGTCTCCAACATGCATCACCCCAGATTGGTCTGCCTAATTGTGTGACCACAACACATCTGTCCTGTGATCTACCATCAAGGGATTTGAATGTCCTTACAGCTACAGCAGACTTATCAGCATGCCATTTTCATGTGCTGGTAGTCAGTCAAAGCATCCTGGGGCACCTTCAGAACTAACCTATTTACTTTTGAATAAGCTTTCATGGATGCTGTGACCACTGCATATACCAAGCATGTATATGCCTTTATACATATCATGGGGATGAGGCCAGTGTAACCAGTGAGGCCAGCAATGTCATATTGCAATGGCTCTAAAGCTCCCTTCTTCAGTAATAGCCACTTTAAGGCCTCACTTTGCATGTCACTGCAAATCCCTAGGTTGTTTGGTTAAACAACCAAACCCAAAGTTAACAATTGAACAATTGCCCATGGTTAGTTGTTGGATTTATTCTGCATTTTTCTGTAAACAACCCGGCATTTCTTGATTTGGACATGAAACAACCTGGGAATGGAACGAATTCATTGCTTACACAAACAGGAATTGGCAGTGATGTGTGAACTGGACCAGAGTATCCTGAATATTGCTTCACTTTTTTTAATGCTATTGCCGAAGGTGGATTTGTGTCCATTTATTCTTTGCATAGCAATTGCCATGTTTGCCCTTTGAAGAATGCAGTAGGGCATTGCTGGGAAATTATGGCATACATGACATTGGAAAATGAGCAGGTGTATGACCACCTCGAGTTGCAGATGGCATTCCTAGCTTCTGTGATAGTGTTGAGAGACTGGACATGGGGACAGAGTTGACCTCTAGACTTGCCTCAGGGTCTGATTCTTTTGTTTGTACCTCTTTCATTTGGCATCTGCTTAATGCAGAATAGAAACATACAGGATTGAATAGTTAATTTAGGAAATTGCATGCCTTTAAGAGTTCATTGATCCATGCTGCTGACTTTATTAAGTAAGTGCACCATAAATCAGAACACTCATTTATATCCTAGTCTTCTACCTTAATGTGTACTTAAAGTAGCTTATAAGTTTTGTTTACCAAAATGAGGCATATTATGTATTTTGATTGAATCTGGTGTGTTGGTTTGTGGCTTGCCTGTATGTAGGAAAATTAAATGGCATACAATAATGTAAGGATAGATTCCATACAGTACTTCATATAACATGTATAATGTAACTTTTAATAGTATTTAATGTAGAAATTATGTGTCTGGGAAAACTTTCTTTGCAGGACAATTGAAAAATAAATAGCCCTTCTAACCACTGTTCTCCTTCTTTCCTTTCTAGGATGCACCCCCTTAATCCATGATGAATGAATGCCACTATGATAAACGCATGGACTTTTTTTATAACAGGAGTAATACAGACACAGCAGATGAGTGGTCAGGGACAACGCTGGTCATCGTTTTATGCTTTGGGACCTTCTTTTGCTTCTTCATTTTCCTTTCAAATTCCCTGGTTATCGCTGCTGTTGTCAAAAACAAGAAGTTTCACTACCCCTTCTATTACTTGCTAGCCAATCTAGCTGCTGCAGACTTTTTTGCAGGCATTGCTTATGTATTCCTGATGTTCAACACTGGCCCAGTGTCAAAAACATTAACAGTGAATCGATGGTTTTTGCGCCAGGGGCTGCTGGACACAAGCCTGACGGCCTCTTTGGCCAACTTATTAGTCATTGCTGTTGAGAGACACATGTCTGTGGTGCGGATGAGGGTCCATAGTAACCTCACTAAGAAGAGGGTCACCTTTTTCATTTTGTTGATCTGGGCCATAGCTATTTTCATGGGTGCAGTGCCCACATTGGGCTGGAACTGTCTCTGCGACATCTCAACCTGCTCTTCCCTGGCTCCTATCTATAGCAGGAGCTACTTGATATTCTGGACGGTCTCCAACCTGGGAGTCTTCTTCATCATGGTGGTGGTGTACATAAGAATCTACATGTATGTCCAAAGGAAAACCAATGTGTTATCCCCCCACACTAGTGGATCCATCAGTCGCAGGAGGACCCCAATGAAGCTTATGAAGACAGTCATGGCAGTGCTAGGTGAGAGGGCATGAATATGTCATCACTGGGGCTGGAGTCAAGGGGCAGGCATGGTTGGGTACCTCCTGAGGGCCGATAACCCAGCAACTGGCCACTGACTGTAGCCCCTGGAGATGTTCCTCTTCTTCACCACTGCAACCTGCTTGATCACCTGCCTTTCACTCTGCCCACAGTGGAAATCTGGGAGGAGTAGATGCTACTACCTACTTATTCACTGGCTGTTTGTCTGTCAAGTAATCAAGGACTGGTAATGATGAAAGGTGAGGGGCAAGAGCAGCTGGTGACAATGGTGGTAAGGTAGAACTCAGTGAAGAAATGAATAATCTGTGGGGGAGGGGGTGGTCTGAACTGGTCAAAATTTCCACAGCCAGGCAACTTTGTGCTCTGCAGAACTGGTTAAAATATTGCCTTCCCTTTTTCAGTGCTTCTTTGTGATGGTTCTGTTTCTAGGAGTTTAAAGGTTGGGCATGATTTAACTAAAATTGGGGGTGGGGTGAGATGGTGGGACTTGAACATTTTTTAGCACTCCATACCTTTCCTACTATAATGTAATCACTGATGAGAATAAAAATGAGATTGTAGGAGCTGCTCTTCCCTGCCCCACCAAATGAGAAAACAGTAACTTTTAAACAGAGCCTATCAAGGGACTCCCTGGAGTATATTGGCCCTACGATAGCTCTCCAGTCTCAATGTTGACCGTGCTAATTACCTCACTTTCTCTGACAGTGTGATCCTATACCTGTCTCCTTAGAGGTAAGCTCCACTGAAGTCAATGGGGCTTACTTCCAGGTAAGTGTGTATAGAACAGCAGCTTTGATACTTATATTTGCCTAGTTACTTACACATTTCCAGAGTGGCCAAAAGGTTCCTGCACTTGCATTCTGACATATGATTGTGGGATCCTTTATATAGGATGTCTTTCTAAGGGTAAACCCATTCTCCAAATTCGGTGTCCCATTTGCATTTCCACCTGATTGAGAATCTACAGTGACACACTGCAGTTTTACTTTTTTAGGTACAGGCTGGTCTTGGACACAAGCTGTTGAACAGGTGTTAGAAAATGTTAAACAAGATGAAAGATCCTGAGAATCTTGTGGCGGCCCTATTAACCATCAGAGACTGAATAGCTTCTTTAACAACTATGAAATAGTTGTACCTCTTTGTGCTGCCTTCCAAACAACAGGAGATAACAGAAGGAAGCATTGCTCTGCCATGGGGGAGACTGGTCCTATTGATATTATAATATTCTGAGATAGCAGCACTATGTGGGAATGTCTCTTTTTCAAGAATAACCCTGCAAATGTTCACTTATCTCTCTAATGCTATGCTCAAGGACACTGTTAATTCAGTCTGGCAGCAGACTTGTTCTGACAGCAAACCCGGCAATAGTGACTGGAAGAGAAGGGTGTGGGAAGAAATTCAGCTATTAGATCTTACTAAATATTACTTGATTGGCAGAGTGAATTAAAAGTAGAGCACAGCATTTGGAGTGTAGTTCTTCTATTGTTAGACAACATCCACTGTTTCACTGACTCAGACCTGTTGCAACATTAACCTGCCTATCTGCAGCTGACTTTATCTGGCAAATGCAAAACTACAGACCAGGGGTAGGGCACACACATGGCGCACGCACAAACTTCCTGGTTCAAGATACTGAATAGCATAGTTGGGAACTTGAGATCAGTGTTGGCTTAGGTAGACCAATACTATAAAATGGTAGCTGGCCTCTCCATATTTTCATAACTCCTACCACTCTTAGGAGGCAACATGATCTAAAATGAAAACATTGGGTGTAAAAGTTTACATCTTTCTAAACCACCTCTCTTTAATTCCCTAGCTGTGTTTACATGATCTCATTTTTCTTGCCTGTTTCCTACATTGGAAGACGTGCTGTGAGGTGCCAGAATCCACCTGGTCCTAACAAAAGGTTTCTGGCTTAAATTAATCAAACATGAAGCATCCGTGCCACGACGGCATGATTCAAGGCACAGCATGCTAGTGCCTCTTGGGCCCAGAGCCATTCAGCAGTGGCATGGAATGGGGAGGCAGCTGGAAAGAATACCTTCCTTTTCCTTCAAGGGCTTTGTGAAAGCCCAACTCAAATGGCCACACTTTGGGCATTCAAAAGAGGAGCACTTTTCAGAGGGTCCAATTCCTATATGAGTTTTCAGAAATGCTGAAAGTTTCACCTTGAGCAGGAATTTCAGTTTGGCAATGTTATGGTACCTGGGGAAACAGTGGGTGTCCACGAAGAGGGAGGAATTCTATGTTGCAGAGGCTCAGCAGTTTGTGGGCATACTCTGATGCCCTCTGCCTTGCCACCCCCAGGCTTAAGGTGCCCTCTGTTGTACTGGACAAATTTCAAACCCCCAAATGCAATGCTTACAATTTGGAATGGTTGGGTGGCACAATGTCTTCCCATGGCAAACTTCTATATGTTCATAACAGCTACTGTTATTGGAAGGCAACACACTCTGTTAGCTCCCATTGACTTATAAGCAAAAGGCCCATTTGGGGATCTTGCTGCTGGTGAGCCTGGGGTTGTTCTTTGCATTCAGGTCAGCTTTGCGTTACATTCGAGCACAAGCAGAGCCATGCTGGACCAGACCGAAGGGCCATACCGTCTAGCATTCTGTTTACACACTGCTTAATCCCTTGCCCACAAAAACCCACAAGAGAGCAATAAGTACAACAGCATCCTCCAGCCAAAGTTCACCAGCTTCTGGTATGCCTGGGCCGCCTGGAGAGAGCATGTAGCTGTCCAGACTAGTTGCCACCGATAGCCTTTTCCTCCATCAATCTGTCCAGTCCCCTGTTCAAGCCCTCCAAATTGGTGGCCATCACGACTTCTTGTGGAAGTGACCTCCATAGTTTAAGTATGTACTGTGTGAAGTACATCTTTTTTATTTATCTGGAATCTTCCACAAATCAGCTCCATGAGTTCCAGTGTTATGAGTGAGGAAGGAAAAGGTCTCCCTTTTCTCTTTCTCTACATTATGCATAATTCTATATACCTGTGTCTCAGCTGCTTTTACTTGGCTTTTTTGCAATCGAACCTGATGCCTTCTGCAGAGCCCAATGCAGCCCTGAAAGGTCAATTTCATATTGTGACACAAAATTGTGGCAGAACCTTAGAAACTGATTTAAAAAATATGCAGAAAATGATACCCTGAGAACCTGATCACAGGCTCTTGGATGCTAAGTAGGGCTGTTTGCTACCCCACCCTCCTTGCACCACTAATGCATTTTTAGCAGCTATATGGCAGGCAGCAATTCAATATGTGAATAGCTTCCCCTGTAATGGATATGCAGTGATACAGAGAATCTTGGCTGTTGAATTTCTGCTTTCATTAGATGGCCAGGAATCTTTCTGGACAGAGGCGCTGTCAACCCAAATTCTGACAATTTGGTTTCAGCCAGGGATTGCTGGTATTTATTGCTTAGTTTTTAACATACCTGAGCAGAAAAGCAAGTAGGGTGATTACCTGATAAGCAGAGTATTGCCCAAATAAGCCTCACTAACAATAATTGCGAGTGTCTCTGTTTAATGGCGCTAATGTATGTATGTGCATGGTTTCTTTCAAGTATGTTTCACTGCCTTTGGTGAGAAAAGAGGGCCCTGTGGTGTGAAACCCTTGTGAAATAATGCATTGCATAGACTTCCACCAGCTCATACTGAAATGGATGATCAACATTTTCAATAATTCCAGCAAAGCCAGGGACAGCTTACTTTGTTACAAGTTATAACCTATTAATTTGTCCAGGAGAGTAGCAGCATTTTCTCTCAGGTCAGACGTCATCCTATATGCTTTTCAGATGTTTGTAATTCCTTCGTCTATTATGTTTGGAGATTACAATCTACCTACATTTCTTAAATGACTGTTTCCATCCTCAGGATCTACGTCTTTTAGTGGCTGAGAAGTCACAATGCCTTCCATTTATCCAAAGTGCTCTAATGCTTTCCTTTTATTTCTAAATGATTTGTTTTCCACTTGTCAGTCATGAATCACAGAGGCTTGCTGGTGAAGTAAGTAAAAAAAAACTGTTGGGAATATTTGTACAATATTTTGGACTGGAAAATATATGCAAATTTAATGGCTGGGAAATGAAGGGGAAATTTGCACAACTGCAATAACAGAGCAGCAAATGTGCGAAATTAGCCTCCATTTACTTCCCAGCTCTTAAATTAGTGCATATTTCTGTAGGAGTTTTTAGAACTATCAGTAGTTTGTAAGTACGTGAGGGGAAATAATCTCTCCTCTTTTGATAGTAGCTGGAGACTTTCAGAGTTACTGAAAACATGACGGATGAGAAGGCTTAAAACTTTCTCACTTTTAATGGACACTTAACATTGAGAGGATTACATTTAGAAGTGGAAACTATTGTTTGCCCACCTTTTGGTGTACCTACTTTTGACACTCGGCCCTCCACACACACATTTTGGTGATTTTCAGTAGAAAAGTTAACAGTTGGGCCCTGGCAACTCTGTGCGAATCAGCCTATGTGCAGTCTCTCCTTGCTGACTTCTGTGTATGTTGCCTCGCTTGGCTGCTACCTTTGACAACGGAAACATACAAGACAGTTGAGCAGGCAAGACGTCATTTATCAGACAGGGGTAAGAGTGCACTTGGGAAAGGCAGACGATAACAAATAATAGTAATAGTGATGGTAATTTTAAAACTACAAACCAAATTCTGCAATTTTCTGGGGCCCATCATAAAAATAAAAAACAGAAACTGGCAAATGGAGAAGGGTAGTGAATGGGGTGTGGAGGGGAGATGGGCTTCACCGTGATGGACTCTTGGGGAAAAGGAAGAGAAGAACAAGTCACAGTTGGCCTGATTGGTGAGCCATAGTGAGCACAAGCTGAATTGCAGGTGGACTTAGTATTTGGCCAAGCCCACCCTTTGCGTCATATTTTCAGATTCTGGTGGGGCTGTTGTAGAAGGAGCGGTTGGGCAGTCCACTTCCACAGGTGCAGTCAATCCAACACAAACCTG